TATTTTAGCATACATATATCCTGATTTTCTTTATTTTAGCATACATATATCCTGATTTTCTATATTTTAGCATACATATATCCTGATTTTCTTTATTTTAGCATACATATATCCTGATTTTCTATATTTTAGCATACATATATCCTGATTTTCATACAGCACTAGTCGGAAGTTTCATCAAAGGAACTATGCAGTCAGCCCAACAGGTATGAATATCTTTGTGGGTAAGTACAAGGTGTCCCTGGAAACTTGACAGGAGCAAGACGACCTGAAACTTGAAAGTAATAGTAAAAAAGGCAGATACATTTTTAAAATGCCAGGACTAGGAGAATTTTGTGATAATTGTTTCAAGAATCATACATGAAGAAGTAGATTGAAAAATAAATGCTGAAAATTATTTCAAAGATCAAAGACGACCTCTTGCTACTGTCAAGTTTCTTAGGACACCCTTTACGTCAGGTTAGGACATCTCTGCGCTAAGAAAGTAAGGAGTTTTAAATGTTAAATCTTTTTTCAGGAAAGTAGTATTTAGGACACACAAATATTTATTGTTCATTCCGTTAATGATGTACGAAGGTAGAACCCAACGAGGTTATAGTGTATAGAGTGATGATGTACGCTAATCCTTCACTAATTGTACAGGCCATGTACTCCACTTCCAAAGGTCAATCTGTACATTACAGAACACGGGGATGATTTCTGAAAATATTTAAATGGAGAATTTGTTTTCCACGTTACTATTAAAATCCACTGCTCCTTTATCGTGTGCAGGATTCCATTTTCACAGGAAGATGTGCATTTACAGAGCAATTTTTCATCGTTTATAAACTGTTCTGAGAAAACTGAGTAAAATTCAAGGTACAAAACCTCCCCATACACTTGCAATCCGAAAGCGTATACTGCATATTTGATATTTGTACTGTATGAATAGGTCATAATCTCTTAACATCCTTTATCAGTAAACTATCCGAAGTGTACACTCAAGCCAATACACACGGAGAGGTAGCTAAGACCCAGCCCCCCTGCAGCAACAAATCCCCCCAAAACTACATCGTGGTTAACCCATACATACATCATAATTCCTACCATTTCAAAGAATTCAAAGTTACAGATTAGAACTTTTGCAGAACTAAGGATCAATCTAATTCCTTTTCGATATCTCATGTTGATCATACCTTGAGATTTAGATTGAGATTAAGCATTGACTCTAATATTTAAGCGTGCCCCTTGGGATATATCTATCAAGTAATTAAGATTAACACATCTCCGAACAAATCATTTTATAGGGTCAAACATACATTGTTTTTTTTAAGAAAATCAAATCATAATATTCAAAGGTTAAATAGATAAAATAGTGCTAAAATAAAATAATTTTATACTGTTTTAATTCAGGCAACAATTGAGAGTATTATTGATGACGAAAGTGGAGTAAAAATGCCTGTATTTAGCAGGTAAAAATATCATGTATTTAGCAGGTAAAAATATCATGTATTTAGCAGGTAAAATTATCATGTATTAAGCAGGTATAAATATCATGTATTAAGCAGGTAAAAATGTCATGTATTTAGCAGGTAAAAATATCATGTATTTAGTAGGTAAAAATATACAAATTCCCTTCAGGTTTATAGGGTTAAGAGTTTTAGCTCGTCATTGAAGTCTTTATGGGTAAACCTGTATTCTACTTCTTCTCACTATATTAATAAATTCCTAGCTCAGAAACTATTTAAATATAAGTGGAAGTAAAAGTTTTTAATAAAACTCAATTTTGAATTTTCTTAAGTTTACCTATTTAGGCCAAGCGGACATGTTCATAACAGACAAATAGGAACATATGATTATATATGTAAAGGTAAATAGATCAGAGATCCATGTATTTAGATCCGTTGATCAGAGATCCATGTATTTAGATCCGTTGATCAGAGAATCATGTATTTAGATCTGTTTATCAGAGATCCATATATCTAGATCTGTTGATCATAGATCCATATATTTAGACCCGTTGATCAGAGATCAATATATTTAGATCCGTTGATCAGAGACCCATATATTTAGATTTGTTGATCATAGATTTATATATATTTAGATCCGTTGATCAGAGATTTATATATATTTAGATCCGTTGATCAGAGATCCTTATATATCTAGATCTGTTGACCAGAGATCCATGTTTTTAGATCCGTTGATCAGAGATCCATGTATTTAGATCCGTTGATCAGAGATCCATGTATTTAGATCCGCTGATCAGAGATCCATGTATTTAGATCCGTTGACCAGAGATCAATGTATTTAGATCCGCTGATCAGAGATCCATGCATTTAGATCTGTTGATCAGATAATCATGTATTTAGATCCGTTGATCAGATATCCATGGATTTAGATCCTTTGATCAGAGATCCATGTTTTTAGATCCGTTGATCAGAGATCCACGTATTTAGATCCGTTGATCAGAGATTCATGTATTTAGATCCGCTGATCAGAGATCCATGTATTTAGATCCGTTGATCAGAGATCCATGTATTTAGATCCGCTGATCAGAGATCCATGTATTTAGATCCGTTGAACAGAGATCCATTCATTTAGATCCGTTAACAAAGATTGCATTTATTTAGATCCGTTGATCATAGAGTCATGTCTTTAGATCTGTTGATCAGAGATCCATGTATTTTGATCCGTTGATGAGAGATCCATGTATTTAGATCCGTTGATCAGAGATCCCTATGAATTAAGATTTACAGAAGTTCAACGTTCCCGAATACCAGGAGCAAGTGAAGGAATATTTACAAAACAGGAATTTAGATACTTTGAAATAAAAAGATATATTCATGGTACGAATTCTGCCTCAGTTTGTTCCTAGGAAACCGACAAGTATCCAGTATCATGTATAATAATGAAAAGTATCCAGTATCCTGTATAATAAGGAAAAGTATCCAGTATCCAGTATTACAATGAGAAGTATCTGAAATCCTGTATTATAATGAAAAGTATCTGGTGTCCTGTATTATAATGAAAAGTATCCAGTATCCTGTATTATAATGAAAAGTATCCAGTAACCTGTATTACAATGAGAAGTATCTAAAATCCTGTATTATAATGAAAAGTATCTGGTATCCTGTATTATAATGAAAAGTATCCAGTATCCTGTATTATAATGAAATATATCTAATGTCCTGTATTATAATGAGAAGTAACTAGTATTCTGTATTGTAATGAAAATTATCCAGTATCCTGTATTACAATTAAAATTATCTAATGTCCTGTATTATAATGAGAAGTAACTAGTATCCTGTATTATAATGAAAAGTATTCAGTATCCTGTCTTATAATTAAAATTATCTAATGGCCTATATTATAATGAGAAGTAACTAGTATCCTGTATTATAATGAAAAGTATTCAGTATCCTGTATTACAATTAAAATTATCTAATATCCTGTAATATAAAGAGAAGTAGCCAGTATCCTTCGAAACCATAAACATCCATATCTTACTCCATTGTAAGGTCGTCTTTGACAAAAATTATTCTCCGGTAAACCCAAACCCAATTTTGCTTAAGACTCCGACAAAATATAAACTAACTCGTGTAGTGAACACGTTTAAAAAATTGTAAAAGCCAAAAACTCGTGATTTTGCAATGAACAACAAAATTGTGTAACCAAACGGATATTTATGTTCAGAAGTTTAAATTTTTTATTCCTGAGTCATAAAACTAAAGAACGAGAAGTTTTGACTTAAATTTTAAGTTTATGGTTAAATTCCACTTCTGACTTAATTTAAACCTGAACTTTAACCGTGAGGTTAAATATTTAACCCTGTGGTTAAGTATTTGAACCCCTATTTAATCAATATTCACCTACTAGTAAGTCAAAAACCCATTATTATTCATAACCGTATATGTCAACGGTTTATAAAAATATTTCATGTTTTAAATGTAATTATTTTAGGTTGGAAATAAACCTATTTGGGATTGTTGTCGACTACTTCAGTAGAGGGAAATCACACTTTGATAAACTTATAGACGCATCGGGACGATAACCTAGGCTCCGACCTCCCGGGAAATTCCTCTCGATATTCTTAGACGCCCAGGGATCAACCCCTGCCGTTGAGGCTTTTAGCTCAACAATCCTGTATTATAATGAAAAGTATCCTGTATCCTGTATTATAATGAAAAGTATCCAGTATCCTGTATTGTAATGAAAAATATTTAATATCCTGTAATATAAAGATGAGGAGCCAGTATCCTGTATTATGGTGAAAAGTATCCAGTATCCTGTATTAAAATGAAAAGTATCTAATATCCTGTTTTATAATGAAAATTATCTAATATTCTCTAATATAAAGAAAAGTATCTAGTATCCTGTATTATGATGAAAAGTATCCAGTATCCTATAATATAATGAGAAGTATCTAGTATCGTGTATTGTAAAGTAAAGTATCCAGTATCCTGAATTATGATGATAAGTATCTAGTATCCTGTATTATGATGAAAAGTATCCAGTATCCTGTATCATAATGAGAAGTATCCAGTATCCTGTATTATGATGAAAAGTATCTAGTATCCTGTAATGTAATGAAAAGTATTCAGTTCCAGTATCCTGTACTATGAGGAAAAGTATCCAGTATCTTTTATTATGATTAGAAGTATCAAGTATCCTGTATTATGATGAAAAGTATCAAGTATCCTGTATTATGATGAAAAGTATCCAGTATCCTGTACTATGATAAAAAGTATCTAATATTCTTGAAGGATATTGAACCAAATACTATAATTGCTTTCTACAATGGGTCAAGGTGATTTATTGCTTTCAATATCTACAGGGGAGTAAACAAATCAGGGATTATCCATGTTTTGGACAAAACTTTCAATTTTTTTATTTTGTTCGAATTTTGGGCATTAAAAAAAAATGCGAAAAAAAATTTAAAAGTTACTGTAATTTTTTGAAATACTTACTTAAGTGTCATCTATTAAGAAAAGAGGTCAAGTAAAATCTATATCTGCTTCCATTTAGGTGGTTAAGGCCATAGATAAATTAACATTAACAGATAGAACACTACATGTCGTCTTTTCAAGATATAGGGGGTTTTCGTTCACAATAACCGTGAGGCAGAAGCCTAAAGGAGTTATGCGTATGCGGCGAAGAACAGGCTCTCTCTCTGGAGCATGTGTGTAACACCTTTTGGCTTCTGTCTCAGGGCTATTGTAAACGAAAAACCCCTAAATCTTAAAAGACGACATCTAGTGTTCTATATGTTATTGTTAATTAATCTATGGTTAAGGCATATACTTTCAACTTTCCTATATACACGTTCAGTAAAAAATTGGAATCTATCATGCTTAATTTCAAAACAGAGATAATTATTTAGGGCTGATCCTGTTGAGTTTGATCCTACAACATGGGAGACAAATAACTATCGTATCTTTGATCCGGCAGATATACCTAACGGAACAATAGATATTCCTATCTGGGCACAGGTAAACCAAACGGAACAATAGATATTCCTATCTGTGCACAGGTAAACCTTACGGAACAATAGATATTTCTATCTGTGCACAGGTAAACCAAACGGAACGAAAGACATTCCTATCTGTGCACAGGTAAACATAAAAGAACAATAGATATTCCTATCTGGGCACAGGTAAACATAACAGAACAATATATATGCCTATCTGAGCACAGGTAAACATAAAAGAACAATATATATTTCTATCTGTGCACAGGTAAACATAACAGAACAATAGATATTCCTATCTGTGCACAGGTACACCTAATGGAACAATAGATATTCCTATCTGTGCAAAGGTAAGCCTAACGGAACAATAGATATTCGTAACTGTGCACAGGTTAACCTAACGGAACATTAGATATTCCTATCTGTGCACCGGTAAGCCTAACAGAACAATAGATATTCCTATCTGTGCACAGGTAAACATAACGGAACAATATATATTCCTATCTGTGTACAGGTAAGCCTAACGGAACAATAGATATTCCTATCTGTGCGCAGGTAAGCCTAACGGAACAATAGATATTCCTATCTGTGCGCAGGTAAGCCTAACGGAACAATAGATATTCCTATCTGTGCACAGGTAAACCTAACGGAAAAATAGATAGTCCTATCTGTGCACAGGTAAACCTAACGGAAAAATAGATAGTCCTATCTGTGCACAGGTAAGCCTAACGGAACAATAGACGTTCCTATCTGTGCACAGGTTAACCTAACGGAACAATAGATATTCCTATCTGTGCACATCTAAACCTAATAGAACAATAGATATTCCGATCTAGGCACAGGTAAACATAACAGAACAATAGATATTCCTATCTAGGCACAGGTAAACATAACAGAACAATATGTATCCCTATCTGGGCACAGGTTAACCTAACGGAACAATAGATATTCCTATCTGTGCACAGGTAAACATAAAAGAACAATAGATATCCCTATCTAGGCACAGGTTAACCTAACGGAACAATAGATATTTTCAGAAAAAAAATTCCCCAAGCGGTAACTTCCCAAGTGACAATTTCCCATGGGGCAACTTCCAAATTTTGTCTTAGTTGCTGCAGTCGGCCCCTAGTCCATAAACGATTAACATAAACATAAAGACATTTACAGGAACACTAAACGACTAACTTTAACAAAAACGATATAAGTAAATTTAACGTTAATATAACGATTAAAAACAATTTAAATAACAATCAATTTTTTTTAAATAAACAATTTATGTAAACAAAAAACATTCACTTTTGAAATATATTTTTTTTTATTAATTTAAGGATGTTAAAAGATATTGCGGAACTTTGGCGCACAAATGCAACCACAGCTTTCTCCCCAATGCGGAGTTTGTCGTCTTCGATCATCCTAAATTCGGACTAATTCCTTGCATAACATCAACAACTGATATTTACGCGGGAGAAGAGGTATTTTATCTTTAAAATAAAATAGGTTTTTTACGGTTTTTTAGCATCTGGAAGAAATCTGAGAAATGACAACTTTAAATTTTTTTTTTAATATTCAATATCTTATATGCCATGAAAAAAAGTTCTAACTCGAGCAGTCTAAAGTGGAAAAGGTGGATAAATTAATTAACGATTCATGGACTAGAATGATGTTGTTACTTTTTATTACTTTCCGTAATTTTGCTGGATAAAAAAAAGTTCAAAGACTAACGTTTATCATTTTCTTGATAAATCAGAATTTTTGTTGTGGTTTTTTCTTCATTATTTTTTGTTTATAAAATTTTTACTGAAAAGAGTAAGATGCAAAAAATAGAAATAATTGAATTACTCCAAAATCAGAGACGAACTTCGACCCAAAATTCAAAATACTGTTAAATAAGCTTATTGTGGGGGCCATTTTATTATTTCAGTTTACTGGTTTAGATACTGATTGGATATGGATATTAAACTTGTTTAGATATTGGTTGGATATAGATATTAAACTGGTTTAGATACTGATTGGATATGGATATTAAACTGGTTTAGATACTGATTGGATATGGATATTAAACTTGTTTAGATATTGGTTGGATATGGATATTAAACTGGTTTAGATATTAGTTGGATATGGATATTAAACTTGTTTAGATATTGGTTGGATATGGATATATTAAACTGGTTTAGATATTGGTTGGATATGGATATTAAACTTATTTAGATATTGGTTAGATATGGATATTAAACTGGTTTAGATATTGGTTGGATATGGATATATTAAACTGGTTTAGATATTGGATGGATATGAATATTAAACTGGTTTAGATATTGGTTGGATATGGATATTAAACTTGTCTAGATATTGGTTGGATATGGATATATTAAACTTGTTTAGATATTGGTTGGATATGGATATATCAAACTTGTATAGATATTGTTTGGATATGGATATTAAACTTGTTTAGATATTGGTTGGATATGGATATTAAACTTGCTTAGATATTGGTTGGATATGGATATATTAAACTGGTTTAGATATTGGTTGGATATGGATATATTAAACTTGTTAAGATATTGGTTGGATATGGATATTAAACTTGTTCAGATATTGGTTGGATATTGATATTAAACTTGTTTAGATATTGGTTGGATATGGATATTAAACTTGTTTAGATATTGGATGGATATAGCTATATTAAACTGGTTTAGATATTGGTTGGATATGGATATTAAACTTGTTTAGATATTGGTTGGATATGGATATATTAAACTTGCTTAGATATTGGTTGGATATGGATATATTAAACTTGTTTAGATATTGGTTGGATATGGATATTAAACTTATCTAGATATTGGTTGGATATGGATATGATTTAAATGATTCTCCAGATTGGTACACTCAAGCTTGGCACAATAGTAAGTAGAAATAGTAGAAATTCTAAGTTTGAGATTTTTAGTTAAATTTTGTTATCACAAATTCAAAACATATTTTGAAACTAAAATTTGTTTGATCAATTTCCGCATTTGCTGAGTTAGTTAATTAGTTGAATAACGTAGACAGTCCCTTTAATAATATTGTTTAGGTATATTACGTAGACAGTCCCTTTAACAATATTGTTTAGGTATATTACGTAGACAGTCCCTTTAACAATATTGTTTAGGTATATTACGTAGACAGTCCCTTTAACAATATTGTTTAGGTATGTTTGCTGAGTTAGTTAATTAGTTGAATTACGCAGACAGTTCCTTTAACAATATTGTTTAGGTATATTTGCTGCTCAGGGAGTCAGCTATCAGGATTGGATGGATTGTAATGTTAAGCGTCCATTTAATATTAAAGAAACACGTCGCGATGCGTAGATTCAATCCTTTAATCACCGTGGTGTTCTGGACGGAGAGCCTTCCCACATAGATTCAGCCTGCTTAGTAAAGTCTCATTTAAAAGACAGGGGCGACTTTGAAGTGTCGCAACGCTTATGTTTTTCTTTAGCAATTTACATGTACATTGAGAGCTTGAGGCCTTTAGATCACAGTGCACATAGATTCAGGCCGCGGCATATAAAGTCTTATTAATTTTTAAAGACGCCTAGAGCAATTTGATTCTCTAACATACTTATGCTTTTCTGTAGCGTAGATCTTTTCATGTCTATATAGAGCACTTGTTGTTATCTTTGCTTTTTAAGAAGTAATTGGTAAAATTCTCTCGATTAGTGCTTGAGACCTTGAATACTTTAAATCACAGTGACCCTGGAGACCCCATATGTTTTTTCATCATTTCGACACAAATTTAGACATGATCAGCCCAATCTTAAAACTTTTTAAATTATTTTTTTATATAAATAAATCACTTATTTCTACAATATTTAATTAAAGGGAGAAAACGCAATAAATGGGTTTTCCTCGCAAATGTCGCCTTCCTTTCAAATTATCAAACAGTCATTATTTCTTCGAGGACACAAAGCCCGCGGCGTTGAGACACTTAAAAGTCGACCCTGTCTTAAAAATTGAGGAGACTTTTTATAAGCAGACTGACTCTAGCTATGTAATATATATCTTTAAAGAAATATATGTAATATATAGATTAAAATTGTGCCGATTTAGTATGTTAAATATTAATAACTAGGTTTTAAGGCGCTTCACGCCCATCCTCGATTTCAGCTTTTTATTGTGGCTGCATCTGTGAGCATCATCTCTTTGTACAATTTAAATATATAACAATAACAAAAAAGTTCGCGTATTTGATAATTATATCTTTTTGCGCATTTTCAATTTTTTTCAAAAATCAAAACTTTTGGAAACACTTTTTTGTAATTTTTAGCATCCATAAACCATCCCTAGGGTCATGCAAGTTCTTACACAAAATTTGGGAATGATCAGTTCAGCCGTTTTGAGGTTTATTAAATACAAACGGAAAAACAGACAGGCAAGCAAAGTATTTTGAAGCTAAAACGAGTAAATAGCCTAAACTGAATTGAATAATGATACGATTATGCACACAAAATATATTTACACGTTAGAAATAATAAACGATACTGAGTATTTATATACGATAAGAGTAGATGGAACACTGCAGGGATTTCTCTGCCTCGATTGGCTGACGTATTTTTCCATAACCAGCTTTTCCAACCTCTTCATGAATACTAACCCTATCAGGGTTTTAAACATGATGGTTCTGTTCTTCCCCGCGTTCCTTAAATCCGTTATTATGTTTTAAAGTCTTGGTTTTTTTTTGACGTATTAGCATAATAATTTTACTAAATATTAGAAGTATTTTATTGATTATCATGATTAGAAACATATATGGACTAAAAGCATGTGTACTAAAACATTTCTTACGCAGAAAAGAAGATATGTGAAGAAATATTTCTGGAATGAACAATTAGTTTGTTTAGTTGTAATCTTTGATTTAAACAATACCTTTTCTAAAAAAATGGATTTAAATAAATTTTACAAATTTTATAGATTTAATTTGAACTAAAAAAGGTATTCCTTAAATCAGAAATTATAAAAGATTAAATAAAATTCAATCCAAATTATTTTCTCTAAATATTTTCCTTTTTGTGTAAAAAATGTTTAAAGTTTTATATACCACTTTATTAGTTATAATTAGGCACTATTCATGATAATTGAGAAATCTCAACTTTGAGAAACCTCGCATGCCACTATGTCGAAAAATGTGTAAAAAAAATCTATTATTTAAACTTTAAACACAGTGGCGGATATAAGGGGGGTTATTGGGTTATTTACTCCCCC